AATTATTTTAGAGAGAAAGTCTATTTAGGTTTTTTGTAGAGAAAAAAATTACGAATCCATGCATACTATAGCTTTTAATTTTCTGAACTTTGAATCCAAGAATTTGGATAACTAAAAACTGGCGCTTTTAAGAAAATCAGTGGTGCCATGGCAATTTGAGATCAGACATGGCAAATGCAGGCGCTTTTGTTTGATTTCCTAACTCCATGGAATTGCCGACTTTATAAACGCGACAGTTTTTAATTTTTAAATTTTTACTGATTCTAAATTTATAAAATACGAAACAAGAATATGTACGGATTCGTTTATATAATTCGAGGTAAATCTTTCACTCACGCCTTTGACGCACTTGACGAAGGCGACGACGGGCGACTTCAGCGCCCCCCAGACTTGGCGTCCAGGGCCTGGGCCCCCCTCGCACGGCCTTGCCTACCTATATGTATCTGTGAGAATACCATCACAAAATTTTTTGATTAGGGGAGGGAGCACTTAACGAACTTTATTTTATGTCAATGGGTCAACATAGTCCAGTCAAATTAGCTCCAAAAGTATTCTAAACTGGATGTTGGCATTTCACACAACGAAACCAAGTGTATTCTTTGTAGTTCCATGCCCGGAAGCTCCCGGAACATATTGCTATACACAAAAAAAATTATCAAAGTCCTCGTGTGAGGTCGAAGGGACTTCAGCGCATTTTTGTGTGGCAGATCAGTATTCTATTTGCCACTTTTGACTCAACCATGAATAAAAGATCTTGTCGAAGGATACCACATTCCCTTTGACGTTACCCACTTCCGATGTCCCGTTCACCCGCAATTCGCGTTTGAAGATTTTTCTCCACCATCAGTTAGATCTTGTCGGAGGGTACCACATTTCCTTTTTCGGTGCATACTTATATTACACCCACATTTTGGTGGATCTTGCTAAAAACCTTCCACAAGATAGTACTTAATTTTTGGGGAGCACTTCTCATTGCTCGAGCTTCTATTGGCGACACGAGAAAGAGAGACAGCCATTCGAGATTTACGAAACATTGACAGAATTCGCAACGGAAGGTAAAAGGTGCCCGAAGTTGACTACCTCTCGAAGACGCGCGCGCGCGCCATGCAAAAGGTTGTTAATTTCGCCCCTAGGCCAAAAAACAAAATTCCGCCACGCAGGAGTTATGCGCGTTTACAACATCTTTCCGACGACACCAATTTGAAAAGAATCGGACCAAAACTGTAGTAGAAGATAGAAAAAAAATTAAAAACCTTCACGTTAGTATACTACGCTCGAGGACGACGCCCAGATGTCGCCAACCCCACATCATGTAGCCCTGTCCCCAAGGTTTACAAATTACACGGCCTTGTAGATACACGTACACCCCTTGCCTTTCTACAAGAGTTCTTCTACGGGCCCACATTTGCTGCCAGCCAGCCGACCAACCAGCCAGCCAGTCAAAGTGAGATTAAAAGCTACTTTTTATAAATAAATTTGCAAAAATGTGCTAAAAACCAAGAAAAAATGGAAAAATGCAGTTTTTTTCGCATTTGCCTTCCAATTATCTCGTCAACTATTGCTCGAGCTCATAGAAATGAATTTGTTTAGAATCGAATTTTCAGTTGGTACAGAACCGTTCATTTTTAAATGGTATTGATTTTTCTGGAAAAATACAAAAAAGTAATCCCAAAAATTAACATTTGTTTTTGTTGATACGTCCTTCTCGATGCTTTGTCCTTCAAACTGGATGACTCCCAGAGCGTTTTCAATATGTTTATGGATGGTGGAACCGTAAAACAACCTATTCTAACAATTGTCTGTTGTCCCGATGAGTTTTGCAAATCGACGGACTGTGGAATTAGAATTAGTTTTGTGGAAACCCCAGAAATAGAACCAGAAAGTAACTTTATAATAGGCCCTTGGTACTCTGTTTAATAAAAATCATACCAACTGTATCTGATAGAAAAATCGATTCTAAACAAATCGTTCTCTTCATTTTTTCCGTAAGAGGAATAGTTAACGAGATACCTAATTAAGTCAAATGCGAAAAACCGATATTTTCCCATTTTTTCTTCGTTTTCTTGTGTATAGCAATATGTTCCCGGAGTTTCCGGTCAGCTAGACTGTCATTTACGGATTCAGGGGATTTTTTTGCATACAATACACATGGTTTCGTTGAGTGAAGTGACAACACACTAAATCGGCAGACAGTAATAGATACAAAACTATAAACCATCTCGAGGATCGCTATTAAAACTTTGCTTTGTGACAATTTTCGTAGGTAATTGCACAAGTGCATCAAAATGCTCTTTTAACAAATTATGAAAATAACCGAACGCAGTTTTTTGCTGATAAGATACTTGAATAAACAAGTAAAAAGGTTTTCGTCTTAAGGCGAGTAACTTCAGCGCATTTTCCATAAATTGATCAATACTTCCCCAAAGGCGATACCTATGTGCGCTATGTTTTTCATTACTAGAGGCATATATGGTTAAAATTTTAAAGAAATATCTTCATAAATAAGGAAGTTGACACATACTGCGCAGTTATTTATTGCGCGTCCTGCGCATGCGCTTATTAATCTGATATTTACAATATGTAATACGTTTGCTTTTACTATAAGTATCTTTGGTTAAAATTTCAAAGAAATATCTCCATAAATAAGAAAGTTTGCGTTGCGCAGTCTGCGCATGCGCACATCTGATTTTTACTATATGCGATATATTTGCCTTTACTACAAGTATCTGTGATTAAAATTTCAACAAAATATATTAATAAATAAAAAAAGTTAACATTGCGCAGCCTGCGCATGCGCAGTTCAATCGTCAAGATTTTCTTTGACTCAGGTGCCAGAGCGATACGCTACCGAATGCAAAAAGAACGAACTAAATATCTTGAAAACTGTAGGAGTAGTTAAGGCCTCGGACAGACGGACGGACAGAGAAAGTGGCTGCAATAGCGCACCGAACTTTGTTGGAAAATGCGCTAAAAATTATCAGGGATATTTTGATGCACGAGTGTAATTCGGGGGAATATTTCCTGAATAAACATTACAAACTCACCTTACCTACTTATAAAATTGTTAAGTGTATTCCCATGAAATGTGCAATTATCGCAGGGCTCTTTCGTTTTCTACAATGCAATTACCGCTGTAATTGACCGATAATTGCACACCTCATATGGGATTTATTACATATGAGGCAAATATTCATTCGAAAATTTGCTTACGTTTAGGTTTTCTTTATCCAAGTTAAATGAAGTTTAATTGCTGGCCTGAATGCAAGATTTATTCCACAAACGGAGAGACAAGTAGGCAAGTAGAGTACGTAGGTATATAAACCAACACGGAGATTACACTTTTTTCGAGAATTCGAAAAGTGGTGCAAGTTATATCATTTCTTATGCACCCAAAGACAACGAGTAATATGTAATTGCGAATATGAAGTGATGTAAATTATGGGGATTTCTTGTGGGACAGCTTTCTAACAATAAAGTATCAATACTTCTTTCCCTAGACAATCTGCAAGACCATTCCAATAAATGAAATCTGTAGAAGAACCAACACATTGTTGTATGCGCTAATAGATGGAGCAAAATAGAGGGATAGCAGGTTTTTAAATAAGGGGACATTTGAAACAAAACTTAGCGTGCTTTTTCCCCTTAAGATTGACCGTCTGTAGTATATGTTGTCTGTGCTAGTACTTAGGTGGTGCGTTGTTCCCTCTGGTCGGAAAGCTTGAATTATTATGTAATCGAACGATCTTGTAGGTCAAGTTCGATTGAAATTATGCGTAGTGCCCACGAGAAGTATTTTTGGCAAGGTAGGAGGTTATGCAACAATAATAACAGAGGCTCGAAGTCCGCCAAAAAAACCCAATCAAAAAATCAATCTTTGACAAAAACCAAAACTTTTATTTCTTGAATAACAAGAACCAAACTTAGACTTCTGCCAAAACAACACTTTTGGCAAATAAGTCTTTGCTGGGTACAATTGGGCAATTATAAAAATTTGCATACACTTTCGAGCTCTCTGACCATCCCGCAGTCAACATTAACATTATTTTTAAAAGCTTTTGGGGGCTTCACGCATAATTGATTTTATCGTCTTTTTAACAGAAGCGATATGTAATGTCATTTTGTATTTTAATCAAACGATCAGATGAACTTACCTGAAGTGCAGTTCGATCGTGATTATATCTGGTGTCCGATCTGAAGATATCACTAATAATTGGTAGTACGCCCTTGTAGTACCTCGTGCACAGTTTAGAAATAAGGTTAAAAGTCATTATGCAAACATAAATGACCAAAGCGTATTTTCCTCCTAATACTGTTAATGCTGGGACCGGGAAAAAATACCGGTAAGCACCCTTGCCCCATTCCTTTTCCAATGAACTGCAACCTATCGTCGAAGTCTGTTAAGTTTCACAGCAGTAGTACTACGTGTCAGTTTTTTTTACAATTAAATTAAAGTTATCAACAAATACATTGTCAATTTTACTACGTATAATATCAGGTTACAGTTGGGATACTACCTAATGGTGGAGCATATACAAATATAAAAAAATGCAATTTAAATGCTTTGGTAAATCAGAAAGTTGGCAGTGGGCAATGGGACTAGACCAAGACGAACTACAGGCCGTTCGTCCTAAGGTGGCGAACGGTCGTTGTGAACAGTGGTTCAGATTCAAATTTAAACTTGCAACGCACCAGTGGCGTCCGCAAAGCATTTTTTACTTTAGGTAGCAAGTACTTAAATTGCTTTGTATTGTTTCTCAGGAAATTAATGCCCTCAAATGGATAATAATTATGCAAGAATGACACTTTTACTCATTGTGATAATGATAACTTGATGCCTTGTTTTCGAAAGTAAATAGCAAAAAAAAGGGTCGCCGCCACTGGTGCCTGCAAAAGCAGAGCTCGGGATCTCTAACAGACTTTCGGGATGCGCCGGTTTCCGCCACATTAGGACGAACGGCCTGTATATACCTACAGCTACTTACCACTTTCTTTGTTTTTAGATGATGGAATGTGCAAAATGTAACATGTGGGTTCATGCGAAATGTGAAAGTCTATCGGATGAACAATATCAGATTCTAAGTTTGCTCCCAGAGTCTGTAGAGTTTTTATGTTCCATATGCGAGCCGTTACCGTATTGGCGTAAAGCGGTTGATTCCGAATTGCGTACCTGTTTTAATAATGTATTAAAACTACTAAGTAAAAATAGAGTAGCCCGAAATATGTTGAAGTGGAGTCCTACGTATTTTAGCTCGCCAAATGCAAAAGCTGCGACTGCCGTTCGAAGGTTACAGTTTTCCGACGAGAGCGAGGTATCTAACGAATCTTCCGCCGAGGATAATCCGGAGCAGGAACAGCTCGGTAATTCGAAAAATACGCGCAAAAAGTATCAACTGAGAGAACTGAGGGTGGCGGTAAAACCGTGTACTATAAATACGGATGATTTGTTTGAGGAGGAAAAAATTAACGTTAAAACGCCGAGTACGCCATCACTGTCAAAAGTGAAATATAAATTGAATTCTAAAGAATATTTCTCTCTAAAGGATTTTGATCACACAATGGTTGAAACTTTTGAATCCGCAAAATCTACGGAGCTTTTAAATATATATCGCTCAATATTGAAACAAGTCTTTCCATGGTATAATCCCTCGGAAAATGATTCACCCAACAACAATACCTCATTTTGTAACACATTTTCCGAAACCAACGAGATTTCAACCACCTATGATGGTTATAAACACAAAATGGTAAATAATATCGAAAGTGACAACCGAATTTGCGTTTTATGTAAAGGTCTGGGAGATGGTTCGTCGTATCGAGAGGCGCGACTTCTGTACTGCGGCTATAACGAATGGGTGCACGCTAATTGCGCTCTGTGGTCGTCGGAGGTTTATGAAGAGATTGACGGTTCGTTACAGAATGTACACAGCGCCATATCTCGGAGTCGGCACATCCGTTGCACATATTGTAAGTTGAAGGGAGCCAGTATTGGCTGCTGCGCAAAGAGTTGTTACGAGACATATCATTTCTCATGTGCTCACTTAAGCGAATGTAACTTCATGCAAGATAAATCAATATATTGCCCATCACATGGCGATATTAATAATTCGGCTGTGATTTCTGCGCCGGTCGATTTCGGTATCAGAAGATCGATTTATGTGGAATTAGATAAAAAGAAAAAACGCTACGCCGAACCGAAAAAGATTCATTTTATGGTTGGATCTTTATGCGTCACCGATTTAGGCACGATCCTTCCCGCCGTTTCCGATAATACCGAGTCTCTAATTCCCATCAGCTTCGTCTGTCGGCGACTATTTTGGTCGACAACAGAACCGTGGCGATTAATCCCCTACGTCATAACAACGTCGGTGTTGCGTTCGCAAAACACCCACATCTCTAAAGATCGAAATTTTACGGTGGATCATAGTTTACCGAAACTCGTACTAGATAAGAAGTTGAAAGAAATTTCGACCTGGCAAAAAGACTTGGAGACTATCACCTCAGGATGTGCGGATTTTGAGGAGGATGAGGAACCGCAGAACGAAAACGCTGCCGATATTTTATCACCCGAGCTTACCGACGCTATTTTGGATGAATTGCCGCACGAATTTTTAGACGGTATATCTATGCAAGATATTTTTCCTAAACTAATGAGTAATGAGGAACTGTTGGGTATGGATTTTAAAGTTCCAGATGTCGGTAATAGTGAATTATGCAAAAGTGATCTGAATGACTCGAGTAAAAAGTCTAGTTTTTTTGATGATAGTAAGGAAACGTCGAATGCATCTTCAAAGGACCCAAAAAGTGAAGCTCTACAGCATATTAACCGAATGTCTAAGGTCCGTAACCAACAACGTTCGTGTAGTGTGACGGTGAGCTGCAAAGTTGATAACACGACAGCTGCGACAAAGCCTATCAAAGTTTCTCCAGATAAAAGTTTGTACCTTCAGTTGCTGCAAGTAGATGGCGCATGCGACAGTGGAAGCGACACAGAGTCAATCACGTATGACAATGTCAATTGGGTCGTTGACGTTGGCGATGAACCAGTGAAATGTGAAAGATGCCAGTGCACGTACCGTACTAGCGCCAGTTACACACGCCATCTAGCCACGTGCGAAGAAATTTCGACAAGCGAAAGTGATTCTGAACTTACTCACGAGCAAGAACAATCCGAGGTTGCCGATTCTATTCCATCCACATCTACTGAGGTTACCGAAGGTGAAACAGCCGAACCGTACATAGTGTCTTCGTACGAATCTTATAGTGAAATTACAACCCAGAATGAGTCTTCTACTTTTGTCAGTACCGAATCGGCATCGGAACTCGTTACGGTACCGCAAGCTTCCGAAATATTTTTTTCTAATTTACAACCGACCATTGAGCAAAAGAGTCTCCCCGCTTTATTCGCTTCCCAAAATGCTTCCAATCAAACTTCCGCAATCGCGATTAGTCAGCCATCGGGCGTGTCGCTGTGTGAACCGTCACAGATGACCTTATCTATTAATCAATCTTTACCTATTAGTCATATTAGTAGTAATCCGTCCGGTGATTTTTGTATAAATCAACCCCCCTCACTGTATATAGGCCATCCTAACTGTAATTCTTTAGTAAATAATGGGAACACGATTTCGTTCGTGACCTCGGGAGCGCTCCCCATAAATCACGGTGCTATTTCAGTAGCGCAGCCTAACGGTTTAATAAATCCGAGCGGCTCCATACATTTAAATCAACCTGTTGAAATTCAACCACAGCAGCTCACAATACAACCGGTCCCAATCGCTCAGGAAGTTACCCCGGTTTTAAACTTAAACTCTAAAGTAATATCGCCAAATGTGGTAACTCAGACTGTGGCTGTTCCTCAAAATCAGTTTCTTAAACCAATGTTTAAGCCTACGATCCTAACACAGAGACCTATACGTATAAGGGGCCGTCCAAGGCCACTTGCCGCCAAAAGAACGCGCCAAGTGGGACCTAGAACTTTATTTATACCACCAGGAGCCACAAGCACGCCATCTGTCGTCGTTCAACAACTACCGTCTGCGAACGTTATTTCCAATTTTATTGATACATTTCAACAGCCTGCCAGCCAGAATTTGCAGTATATAACAACGATAGCACCACAAATTACCACAGCCTTACAAACTCAAACTCCTTTGGTGCATTTGCAGTCGGAAGGAACACTAGTGAATCTGGTACCGGGAGTCCAGTCCACCGTTTTGCTATCCCAACCGAGAGTAATAAATGATCAAATATTAGTAGATAACAATGGAGCACTTGTGTGGGCACCTCAACCGGTGCAACCAATTTTTTATGGTTTTGAAACTATAGTGCAGAACACTGTCCTTCAATCTCAGCAGTTTCTTCCTAGTACGGTTCCTGGAGTTTTAACCACAAATAGCAGTTATTCTTCAACAACACAAGTATTCCAAGCCAGTAAATTGGAACCAGTTTTGGATGTCGCTTCTGGAAACATTGTTTTATTAAATTCCAATTCCGTCGTCAATCAACAACCGTTGCAAGTGTCCCAAAGCGTTCAAAGTCAAGTACCCACAACACCCTTAGTCATATCAGAAAGGAAATCTGCCGCTCCTTGGATTGTAGAATCTAGAGATAGTGCGGAAGCACCACCAAAAGTTGCTACGAAAATAGTTACGACGATACCCAAATGTGATACCACCACAACCGCTTATAACACTGGGACGACAACAACCTCCAGCAATGCCAGTGCAAGTAGTATTAATCTTCCAGTGGCTCCATTTGTGCCAGAACCCGGAATACCAACCAACATTGTTCCTCCAACACCTAAGCCAGTAACAACGACAACTTCAACTACCACAACGCAAGCTCGTCCAATGAGTAGGGTACTCCCAATGCCCACAAATAACCTTAAACAAATTAAGGTTATGACAAAACCTGCCGAAAAACTGACTTACCAAAAACCTAAGTTGGCCGAAGTTGAAACGGGGAACTCAATTACTAAAGCACACACCATCAACACGTTGCACGACGTCATTATTAAGTCGATATCCGAAACACCAGTGACGAACAAACCGGAAGCGAACATTATCCCGAAGGACGAAACGGCGTCATTAAAGTTAATTTTCCAAAAACAGAGCGAAGGAGGACTGTACAAAATTAGCAATAACTACACACCTAAAAACGTACAAATCGCCCCTTTAAAACCAATTAAGCCTAAGTCATGCGTAACGCAACCTTTCATAGGTGTAGACGAAGAAAACGTATCTGAGAAAATGGGCAGACAGGTCAAACCTGAAAAGCAGGAGAGTGCAATAGTTTATAAGGTCGAAGCTCAAGACGGATTTAATTGCTCATCAACGTCGATCACAGAGCTATGGAATAAAGTGTTTCAGGCTGTACAGGCGGCCAGACTTGCCAACAACATGGCGCCGCTACCTTCCGGTTCGATAAATATGAAGGGCGGCTTCCACGTCCTCGGTCTGAATACAAACGGACTAAAATATCTCATCGAGCAATTACCAGATGCGGGAAAGTGTTCCAAGTATAAACCCATTTTCCACACTTTAAGTTTTCAAAATGAGTTTGACGACGACAGCACTATTCAACATACGTACGGTGCCGCTAGATGTTTACCCTATCAGAGGACACACGAACCCAGCGATTTATTTGGTTGGCTCGCGTCAAAACATCGCAAACCTCATCTGCAGAACGTCATCGATTTTGAGCAGTACACCAGGTAGATCTCGTGATAATCTCGCCGGAGCTTTCTAATTTTTGATCTGTCTAGGAGAGGTTCCATTACGAACTTACCTATGGCGATGCGATTTAGGCATTTAAAATTGACATCGAGGCAATCGGTTGGCGTGTTTCGTTCTCAGATACACAAAAGAGGATTGTTTTGTCAAAGGGATATTGAGAGTGGAGAAATGGTGATAGAGTATGCCGGCGAGGTAAGTGTCGTTAAAGTCTGTATACAAAGCAGTTATTCCCTCCCATCAAACGCGCAGTGATTACTAAAATAAAGTACATGTGTGCTATGTGTTGACAACATATAAGCTGTATTATGATGACAATCAATTGTCATTCATTAATCAACAATCATCTAACCTTTATTGATTGACCTTGCCTAGTGCCATTGGATTTCTGTTTGTCAAAGGCAGGAAAACAGATATTTATTTTATAAAAGAATATGTACTTTACCAATCTGATATTATTGATTGTATATTAATGTCATCAATCATCATCATTAAAACAAAAATCGCGTTCATTAGAGTCATTTTCGCCTAAATCAATAATTACATCATTTACGCAAATATGTTCTGATTCCATAAAAATACAGATATTTGTTGTTGTTCAAGTGACTTCATCTTTTTATTACTTACTCATTGTCCGCGGTTTTCTGTCACCTGAAATTGTGACGACGCGCCGCTTGCACATCCAGCAGCAAACTAAATTGTGCTGCACCCTCATCGGTCAAAACGGCTAACCGATGAGAGCGTCATAAAGTGAATTATAAAGTAACTATTCACTTTTGCTCTATCGTACACCATGATTTTATTGCACTAGATGCTCCAAATCTGATAAATGGCATGCAAATAATAAGAGAAGAAGTAAATTTCCGAATTTATAATAACACGAGTTCCCTACAAATGAGTTATTAATTATTGTTGATCATATCAACATTATTCATAACTTCCCTAACGTTCAAGGCTTAGTTATCAAAAACAAGGATTAATAAACAATCACTATATTGCCTCAGTGGTTTCCTGCATTTGACAAACTGAAATCAATAAATTAACAGGGTAATTAGACATGATCAGTAATTATATCTTATAAATACTTAAACAGAAAAAGTCAGTATTGCGGAAGCAAAGGTCTGTTGCATTACTAAAAAAAGTTATTTTTGAATAATCGATTTTGGGTTGTTCAAACCGTTAGTAAAAACTGCTTTGTAAATAGATTGTGTTGTCTTGGAAATTACTGGCAAGTGTCGTAGGTGATTCGATCGGTGTTGGCTGATAAACGTGAGAGGCAGTACACAGTGATAGGTATGGGATGCTACATGTTTCGTATTGATGAAAATTTTGTGGTTGATGCTACAATGAAGGGCAATGCTGCAAGGTTCATCAATCATTCGTGTGATGTAAGTATTACGAGTAGTCTCCTCGAAATATAATAATATTGTTTATTTTACAGCCGAACTGCTACTCAAAGGTTGTCGAAATATTGGGCCATAAGCATATTATAATATTTGCACTTCGGAAAATTATTTGTGGGGAGGAGTTAACTTACGATTACAAATTTCCGTTCGAGGAAGATAAAATACCGTGCACTTGTGGCTCTCGTCGCTGTAGGAAATTTCTCAATTGATATTCAGATGTCGATTTAGCGAGACTCTTGTAATTTTGAGAAGCCTTAAATAAATATATTCGGACAGCACCTACATTAACCATTTAATGGAGTACTCAAAAAGGTTAATTTAAGTTTGTCAAAATAACAGTATTTATTTTTTTATATTTGGCTGTGAGAAAGTTGCATTTGTGCCATTGGCCATGTAGGTGCTGTTTTTTATATTGAACTTCTTGTGATACTCTTAGTAATTATTTTATAGATGTATACAGTTTATAATTGATTTTTTTTTTCAAATTGTTTCTCAAAATCCTTCAAAGAAACTAAACTTAGTGACATAATTTTAAATTTGGCGTCTTAAAACATAGTTTTCTACCCAAATAAAGGTATTTAAATTTAAACAAAATTTTACTTTTCCTGTCATAATAATATCAAGGGTACAAAATTTAAGATTCCAGATTTGAAAGTGACAGAGAAAATTAATTTAATTTGATTGTCAGTGTGAATATTAAAGCTATGTGTTTGGCTTGTATTTATTAGAAATTTCAGTATAGGTATTATCTCTTATATAGTTGTTTTCCTTTGTTAAATTTACATTGCTTACTAGAGGTGGACGATATATCGGTATGTATTGATATTTTTCTAAATCCATTAAGCAAAACATCAAATCGAATATTACTACAGTAAACCCCCAATAATTCGCGGTTAATCAATGGCTGAAGGTACACTAGAAACTAGTAGCTCAATAAAGAGATAACGTACTTCCGTATTTTCAAAACTTGTAATTGTAATAATATTGGCCATTTAAAATTTTTTTTTATTGTAAAAATGTTACTAAATCAAATTTTCAAAATATTCCGGGGTTTCCTGTTTAAGATATAGGATAGCAGTATTCGACCATCGAAAATCTATATTAAAATATATCGCCTACCCCTATTGCTTTCATTGCAAATTTGTAGCAAAATACAGCTATACTATAGTATATTTTCTCATCCTTAAATTCCTCAATTTTGGAATTAATTTTTGAATCTTCTTATGCCATAAAAGAGAAAAACCTTGTACTAGTATGAAATCATTTTTTCTCAAGACTGTATTTATTGTGAGGTACATTGGCAGCTGTGAACTATTTTTGTTATGCGATGTTTCGTCAATTATTTTTATATATTGCTTTCGCTCTCATTTTTACAACTTGTTAGTGGCATATTTGCTACATAATATAATAAAGAAAACGTTAGGTATAATTATTAAAAGGCAACTAAATTTTGTTGTGAAACCTCTTCTCAGGCTAATCGTTTAAATGCGTAGAATAAGTAGAAAAATGTGTACTTGCTCAAGCTAAACTTGATTAAAGTTGAGTGATCTGGTAGCTTAAGGTTCCATTTCGTTTAGAACAGAAAAGTACGGTGCCGTCTCATATGACAAATTATGAAATGAACAAATTATGTGTGAATTGAAATCGACTCGTGACATTGTACTTGCTTTATTTTTACAGGTGCTATTTTCAACCCCCCCTTCCTAATATCATTATTGCAAATTAGTTTATTAGTGTATGTATGACATAAATTAGTCAGTTACTCCCTAATTATTTAAGTATTGGAGAGAAACAAATGAATACTCACTAAGTGTTTTTCGATGTATTATTTTTTTGAAGGATTTTTACATTGTTTTTAATGATTTGTGAAGTGTACATTATCATGTATGAATTAATAAGTTGATACAAATGGCCGTTGAAACAATTTATCGACCGCTGTTTTTTAAATATATATTGTACCGGTATGTTTATAATATTTTTGTGCGCAAGTATTAGTAAAACAGGTTTTTGAAGTATATTTTGTACTGATGTTTTAGATTTAATAGTCTTTTGCTTGTACATTATTGTAAATAGTACGTGTATAATATCGCCAAAATTAAATATGTATTTTTTTTAATTTACACTTAAGCCCATTTCGACCCATGTGTTTACAGTCGAATGATATGGAAATGTGATCCAATCTTTTTGACAATATCAACATATCATCACATCGAGTAGGAAGAAGACTTATAGTGTGATATAAAGCCTTGAAGGTGTAAATAGATTGAGTGAATTTAAAATACAGTGTCTTATTAAATAGTTAATTCACATTTAATAAACCAATTTTTGGTGCTTTAATGCCTGATTGTAACTATATGCTTCTACAAATGTTTGCTGTCACGAATACTAATAAAAAGACTTCTTTTCATTGTACTATATTTTTATTTGACTAAAGTGAAAATTGAAATTCTTAAACAAAATTGAGAAAAATGTAGAAGTTGATATGTCATCTCATATGGCTGGTAAGTTTATTCTTGTACTGAATGGGATGGTCACGCTGATTATCTGGTACGGATTTATAAGCAATCTCCTGTGTTCCATGGCAGAATGTGTTCGCTTTTCAAAAGACGGGTCTGTGTGATTAAAGTCTTCATCTCACTACTGTTAGTAATGAGTTGTATTTTTACAAAAGGTTTAAAAATGGCCTCAATTCTAGGTAAATGAATACCAAGCTTGTTGAGAAATCCTGCATATTTGTAAAGTGTGCTTTTTAATAAAATTTTCTTCAATTCAGAAATTGTTCATAGTTTGATTGATAACGCACATCTGCAAAAATATCCTTAGTGTTTAAGCAATCGGATTTATGGCTCAGTGGTAGAGCATTGGGTTATAAATCCGAAGGTCGGGTGTTCGAACCTGGGTTGAGGCATTGTTTAAATACTTTATTTAAACAATGGTTGAGGTGAATTTTTCATCTGTGGCGGAGATCGAAATTACCTTAGACCAGTTCCGAGCATTCTACCGGCTGCTCCGAATTAGGTTTTCCTGCAGTTTTCCTAATTTGTAAGGTAAATACCGGAGTAGTATAGACCAACTTAAGACCTTCTGCAGAGGCACCTCTAAATAGCATTATGCGGGTCACTCTGTAATTGGGCGCATGCCTGTTGAGGGCCCAAAACAAGAGAGGGATAAAAATAAAATAAAACGTACTGTAATCCAATTTTTGGTAAAAACTGGTGAAAAACCTGCTGAAATCATACAAAAATTATGGCAGGTGTATGGAGATGAGTGTTCTTCAAAAATTCATAGATACTAGATAGTCAACTTGTCGTAAAGGTTGCTCAAATTTGCAAGATTATTGAGACTTGTACCATACAAAAAGTGTAGGTAAACGGGTCAAGCCTGCAAAGGATAAACTAGTAATGATTTATCCTATTTCAAATTCGTTTCAATTTGGCTCAATACTATGGACAAGAGGTATTTCCAACTCAGCGGAGGTCCATGCCATGAGGGCTTTTTACAAGTCAGAAATTTAACTTTTTGGCAAAACATCTAGTGTGCAGTAGCAATTCATTTACTGATCCGCAAGAGCGCAAGAAGGCAGGGAGAGCTACGCCAGCAATATTTCTTATCCCGCGTCCGCTGTTGCGTATTGGGAGAGAAGAGATTGTCCCTTGCAGTTCGGTTAAGCTACAGTTCCTGATGGCTTCTGGCAGTTCACATCTTTCAATCTGCCGTTAAAACTGCTCAAGATGGTTTAAAAATGACAGTTCACATTTTGAAGGATTAATTGACAAGCCCATTTTTTGAAACTTTTCCTTGAGGGTCATTATAGGTCTGCCAGCACAATGGTAGACCTGCTATGATTACGTTAGGTACTGCTATTCAGTAGATTGTAGGATAATTCGCCCCCGAAAATTCGCCCCGGTAAATTCGCCCCCGGAATATTCGCCCCCAAGAAAGCTCGCCCCCAAGTAAATTCGCCCCCGGACTATTCGTCTCTGTAAGATTCGCCCCAGAAAGATTCGCCCCGGAAAATTCGCCCCCGACAAATTCACTCCTGGAAGATTCGCCCCCGGCGATTCCGCTCCCATAGGATTAATTTACTCGGGGGCGAATATTCTGGGGGCGAATTTACCGCACAATATTCAGTCATTCAGTTACAGGTAGGTGCCCAGATACCTATTGAGATCTGAAATCAGGTCTTGGAATTGTAGTGGTAAGGCCGAGGATAAAAGGTCCGAATGATCACCTTATGCTGAGCTCCGACTTGAGAAGGTATGGTCCTAGGTATGGCCTTCATTCCAAATAAAAGGAAAGAAGGGGGGCATAACACACATACAGGGGCGGACTGGGTAACTGCGGGCCAGGTGGAATTGCATAGGTTACGGGCCATTAAAGTATTAGTGTAGTAATGATGGTGGCCCGGGGGGGGGGGGGGGGGGTTAGCTTCACACTTCAATTAAACAGAATTTTTTAACCTAACATCAACCCCCATTAGAGAACTGTTAAATAATTTATTATAGGTATGCAAGAAACTAAATACAGCACAACTATATAAATTTTCAAAGCCTTATGATCTACATCCCCCCCCCCCCCCGGGTGGGGTCTTTACTGCCTTTTTTTGCTCCGAAAAAAAATTGTCTAAGATCGACCGGGAAAAAAAATTTTCTTATAGAATGTGGCCTGTAGAATCCATAATTTCAAACAGTTCCAAGATTGGGCTACTAGTTCAAAAGTTACAGCGCTTTGAATTTTTTTTCGAAATTGGTTTCTAGTCTATAACTTTTGATTGAGAAGTCTGATCGAAAAAGTACGAATTGTTTTGGATTCTACGCACCAAAATTAATAAGAAAAAGTGTTTTTCCGAGAAATTTTGGTGCAGTCGATTTTTGGTAAAAAAGGAAGGTTTATACACTGCCTTTTTTTGAGCCCCGAAAAAAAAATTGTCTCAGATCGACCCGGAAAAAAAATTTTCTTATAGAATGTGGCCTGTAGAATCCATTATATCTCGGGATTAAGTATAATCCCGACTTATATCTCGGGATTACGTATAATTTCGACTTATATCTCGGGATTACATAATTTGAACTACCTTGTCCGTTCTACGCTTTCGTAGTTTTCCGCTTTACTTCTGCAAGTTTTAATTTTTTGGGTTTATTTAATAGGATTAATAAGTATGACATTAGAAAAATTAAATATAATATAGCGATTAAAAAAATAGCAACAAAAAATGTAGAAATGAAGAGATTTAGGGCAGGATAGGAAAAGGTGGAGAACTGCCTCCAACCATTGAATAAAAACACTATACTATACTATAGTGTTTTTATTCAATGGTCCAACCAATCGTAGGATTTTGGACTCCGAGAAGAAGAAGGGTAGAATGGTGGACAAATAATTGAAATTTGAATAACGTTTGTAGTTTTCATTTTCACCTTGAAAGCCACACTTTTAAAAATTTAAAGGTTGAAGGCCGCGATTTTAAATTTTAAATTTTAAACGAAGAAAGGTCTTGCCAAATATGCAACGTTTTAACTTAATAAATTTCAAGCATTTCAAAGCAGTAGATATTGAATTCAAAATTGAAGTTTGGAAGCCCATTACAGCTCTAAATTTTAATTCAAAATTTGAAACTAAAAGCCAACTATTAAAATTTGACGGTTAGAAAGTGTGCAAATTCGATGTTCAAAAGTTTTGTTTTGGGGCTGCATCAAATTAGGGCCGAGTTTAAAATTTCAACGTGACCGGCAAGGTTTTGATCATTTGCAGACGAAAACCCAAACCGCAGTTCCGATGGAAACATGAAAAATCAACTCAGAACTCTCAATTTAGTTTATTTGGATGTGACCAAGTAACAATTTCAAAATCCATTATTTAGGCAAGGAAACAGTGAGACGCATTGGCTAGGCATCCAAAACGTGAATATGTTATACGATAGTACGACACCAAAATCGTATTTGTGCAATAATTATAAATTTCCTTGGAATTGAACCATTTTCAAATTTTCAAATGGAATGACTAAAAAGTGAATTCAATTCATTTGCCAATGATTTAAAGCCTTTTCGTGAAAATCAAGCCTCAAGCACATCTAAAAGTAACAAGAGCTTGATCCTCAAGTTTCCAAAGTCGTGCACGCGCCCAATTAGCTTTGTTCGAAACATCTTCAATTTTCTGCAGAAAAAGGAGTTTGGGCATTTACTTTTAATCGTTTTGTACAGAGCTTTCGCATGTCTGATTCTTTATCTAAGATATTTTCCACCCCTACGAGACACTGGAAGTTAACAGTTAATGCAACAAGACCTCGAATAGTAAAACACAAAGAAACGATTCCTTAAAAATACCAAAGAACTGTTTCAAAAACACTCACTAAAGTTATCTGATGTACTTTGGCGGGCGACGCTAAAGAAAATGTTGTTTGTTGTTGCGTTTTATGGAATGTATTTACAATATGTACAAAATGGTATCCAAAGTATCCGGAGGGCAAGGCAAGGAAATCTGGTTCGGCACGTGGAAAGCTGGTTGTATCTTAAAGAGTCGTCGAAGAAGGAATTGCTTGGCAGAGTTCGGAGCTCTGGTTTTAAACGTTTGCAGCCACGCATTTGGACATGATATTACAAAAGTTCCGAGAGGCCAACCTGACCGTCCATTTTTTAAAAATCTGAATTTTTGAAAGAAAATATATAGGTTGAACATTGCTGAGTTGCAATGGAAAGCATATGAGCTAAAATTGACTTGTATAAAATAAGGATGTAAGAAGAACTTCTGTCTTTATATTTAAAATGTTCGTTTTACTGTTAGATTTAATGATTTACTATCTTAATTCTTCTGCCAATTGGTTCGTCCTGGTGTGATCGCAACTATATTTATAGTTATTCATAATCATACAAAATAACCTTTAGATTTATTTTTCAGATTATAACCACATAATTTAACTAATTGCGTTATCGGTACAAAAACTAAAATTAATTTAGACATTCACGATCCCAATCGGTGGGTAAAATCTCTCTAGAACGCAACTGTTCCTCGAACTTACTCAGTGTACAAGGCGATGGACAAAAACTTAGAGGCAAAAGTGTAAGAGATGAATTAAAATTTTCAGCAAATAATACCTGTAACAGTTACGCTTACACATGAAAATGCTGTAAATTGCTTACCCTTATTTCGTGAGTTTCGTTAATTTTGTGCAATTCAAAAGCCAAATGTGCTCCATAATCTGGAATAAATATTTTCCCAAACCCTAAACTTTGTAAGGCGGGTACCAGTGTACTGTCATGAGCTGAATATATGATCAATTTTAAACTACTTCCGTTGATACTTCGATCGGAAAACTTATCAATGATATCCTTTAATAAAACTCCTACAACAGATGATTAATAAAGCGCTTTTGTCCACGTTAGCTTTTACCTCCTGAAAATTTCTGTGTATCTGTAGCAATGGTGTAGATGAACAACTTTAAAGCAGCAATTTCATACATGGTATCCCAGGGAAGGTGTTTCGTCCACGGTGGTAATTCAAGATTATGATGTTTTTCGATTTTTAAAGTATCGTAAAGTTTGTGGACGAGAAAGACGTCGTTGATGTCTTGACCTGTATGTAAGCTTAGGTACTTGTATAGTTTTTCGTGGACAATTGTGTGGTTTGTCATTTGGTCGGATGAAAGGAATCTTTTTAGGGCTTCCCCCAATGCGTGGCATGGTTTTTCCAAGCTCAACAGCTAAAAAAAGGCGATGCCTGATGATTGAAATAGAAGGTAAGCACCTACATTGTCTTCCTGGCGCGGAACGTACGAGATAGGTATAGGTTGCCATGGTAAATCTGGATTCCATATTTGGTGACCTACTGGAGGAAAAAGTCCTGCCAAAACCAACTGAGCGCTTGCCTTGCATCTAACAGTATCACTGCTTCTCACGTACACTTCGTCCTCAATGTAAGATTCAGATAAAAAATGCGAGTAGTCTTGTCTGAGGCGCTTTCCCAACGTATACATTTGATTTTTCCCTTCCTAAAAATGATCGTGAATTAGGCGAATATTAAATGGTTGAATACTCACAATGGTTAGCTTTCCCCAACCTTCTGCCCAAGACTGATGCTCATCATTTTTGTACGTCCATAGAGGCGTACGAGCTCCGTGCCTGAAAACCTAACACTGCAAAATTATCCTTTTACAATAGAAAATGTAACTTTTACTTACAACTAATACAGATTTGAGGGTACTACTCTCAACAACCTTTAAATCCGCAAAGTAAGAAATGCACAGGAATATAGTAATCGCTACGTTCATATTTACGCAAGTACTGATTACCAACTGACTGTATTTAAATTACTTGTGTCTAAAATTCAACATATTCAAAGTCCATAACGTGTGCGCAATAGATAAGTACTGTTTCTATATTATGGAAAGAACAAGTTTTAAAAGTTACAGAAGCGTTAAATAGACGTTAGCTAACTGTATCACCATCATTAATAAATTATAATGTGAATGTAATTGCGGGTTCTTCATATGACGCAGCATATCATAAGGGATAACAGGTCATTGTAAAGATTTCGAGGTTTACTCATTTATTGCAAAATGTGATTTTTTAAATTCTTTAGTTTCGACAATCTTGTGATTTCATAAGAAAAAGAAGACGAAAAGGTTAATACTATTTGAAATTCCACCATATTATACCAAAGTTGGTAGTACTCGCGATGTGTGATTCACTAATTACAGTTAACCACAACCAAAACATACTCGAAAATATTATATGCCTAGTTTATAATGAAAATTCTTGAAGGTCCTATAATCACGTCAGAAAAGTCTTCCCGCACAGAAGATTCTCGCCGAACGGCTAGTTAAATTTGTTTTTGTGTTAAAAGAAATCACTTCACCAATTTTCAAAATTTCAATCAGAGGTAACTAGATTTTTTTAAATGGAACTACGAAGTTTTTTTTATTGCATGAAATGTAAAATGTTATTAGCTTTGTAACGATAAAAGCCCACCCTGTATAGATTATTATTAGAACCACAAATTAAGGAAAAAACAATCGTTTAATCCGAAATTTAAAAAATCTGCAAATAAGTGAAAACCAGCGGAATAAAATAAGACCACTATTTAAATAACCATAACATAAAAACTCAACATGGCAAAGACTTCACACAGTACAGACGTATCTAACGAAGAGTGTTACTTAGTTCTATGCAAGAGAAAATGGATATTGTGCTGAATACAGCAAGAAATCATAAATTGAGATGAATGCAGAATTGAAGATTTTGATTAAGGAACGAGACCGATGGTACTGTGAATGACCCAAGAAAGAAATGAAGAAGAATAAACCAGCGATCACCTGAAGAGGGCACTTCAAAAAGGACAGCAAGCAAGGAATATTTGTCAATAAAATGTCCGGTAAACGTTTTCGTGGAATAATGAAGACGAAAATACCATACCAATCAAAATGCAATAACTATGAACTAGAAATGAGGAAAATTGGGATTGGACCATACGAAGCATTTTTAAGTCTGGATGAAAACTGTGAAATAGCAAAAATGTTAAACACATCTTTTCACTACAGGAGTAGTCACAGTTCACAAGAGAGTTCCTTAACTACCACAACAATGAATACAGAACCCACAGCACTGTAAACCTATAATAATAGTATATTTACCCTGCTATTGTGCTAAGCACTTACACTACACTTACCTATGCCAACATTGCCCGAAAAACCCCTCAAATCACTTACCCCACACTAAGGAACAATTATCGATTAAATTGACGACTACAAACTAGAAGACTACGTGAGAATTATAGGAAAGCGCATAGAACCCAATAATATAATAAATACATGTATTGAGAGTAGCAAATCATCGTATATGCCTATGCATATATACTTAAAAACTACTAACATTATGGATAACTTAAAGAATGATCGAGATTTCATTTAAATAGGGGACATAAGGAGGTTAGTTACTGCTTCTAGGAGAATCATCTTATCAAATGTTTCTCTCACCATCCCACATGCTTAATAAACACACCGATACTCCGGGTGTCTGGAATAACTCACCTAAAAGTATCCATATCAGACGACGAATACAGTCATATCATGAGTTTTAGGCGTCAAATCATTCCCACAACACAAAAACAGACCTGCCTGGAACTGCATCTGTACCTGAAATTAGCGAGCATGAACAAATTTGTTAAATAATCACCTCTACCTTGACATATGGAAAAAAACAACTGTTCCTGTCCCTAAAGTGTAAGTAATCCCGCAACATATACTGATTTATGACCAATCAGTATCTTACCTGCAATCTTAGAAGCAATAAATTTTTCTCCATGTCAAGAGATACCAACTATGCAATCTGGTTTTAGACAAGGACATAGCTGCATAACAGATTATTAAACATAACTGATGATATCCTTGCTAAATATGATGCAGGACTTTCTACCTGTTTGATCTTACTTGATTATAGTAAAGTTTTTGGGACTATTAAACGCGAAATGCTGTTGTCCCTCCTACATTTTCTTGGATTCGTCTTGAATTGATCTTGAACTATTTATTTAACCGAGTCTAATGTGCTATATATTCCCACAATTGATCGTCATTTATAACCATTTGCTCAGGTGCACCGCAGGGATCCATCTAAGGACCTCTATTTTTTAATTTGTATAAATCTCATTTCTTGTAATCATCGTTTCTATGCAGATGACACACAAATTTACTTGCCATTCAACGCTAAGGAAGTGAAGTAAGCTGAAGCAGCTCTTAATTATGGCCTTTGCCGACTACTGGAATCTTCGCAGGACACGAGTTTGAATATTAACCCAACTGAATCATCCGTTACGGCCTTTTGCAAACCAAAAGATTCATCCCTACTAAAGGAAAATTTGAGTTTAATCTTTAACGGTTCCCCATTACCTATAGTTGAATCATGTCAAAAACCTATATAATTCGATTGTTTTATCTCATTTTAATCACTGTAATGTGTAATAGACATTAATTTATTGAAAAAACGAAAACAATTGGTCAATAAATCTCAAATAATGTCTTTGGCACCATTTATTAACAAAAATTATGTTTAAGACTAGGTAGCAGACTAAGAAATGAAGAATTACCATTGAATATAAACTATCACACTTTACTACCCAGAAAACATCACTTGTAAATTATTATTTAAGTATCAGAATAGAAGCTTACTGCATGCGGCACCACGGCAACTTTTAGGGGTAGATTATTTGGAACCATTCACTATCAGAGATAGGAAGGGCCGTGGACCAAAATCGCAAAAGCGTGGATCTTTTTATTTATGCGAAGAAGACGGATTGAACGTACCAAAAAATCGGCGTAATGTGTACCAGTATTTGCATGCTATTAGACATCATTTTTGGAAGAGATGGACAAAAATGGAAGTAGGTACCAGACAGGGCACCTCAATGTTGGATCCTTTACCACCATTACAATGGAAATTGGGTTGATTGAAGTTCATAGTGGCAGTGAGCAAGTAGCGAGGGTTGCTGAAGTCAAAACTGAATCATTCGCTAAAGTGTTTCCGCTTCCAATAAACATTGTATGATTTGTTTGTCTAATTCGAGGTCGAAGTATGTGGAGCAATATTGATAAACAAAAACAGAAAGCAAACAAGATGGCAGAAGCAAAATGTTAAGGAAGAAGTTAAGAAAAAGAATGAAAAATGAAAACGTATTTAAGTAGAAAAACGGTAGAAACGTACTTACAAACTAACAAACTACCGTCCCATAATTATTAGAATATCAGTTAATCCCCTTGTATATAGGTGATGGACGAGAAACAATAAAATTTTAAACCTACATCAACAATCGAAAGTTGGACATTCCCCATTAAAGTTAATTTCATTTTCATTTCCCGAACTTTGATTTGTTCCGTGTCTGTAAACATGTTTAACGAATAAAGAACAGCTACCAGAAAACATTAATTTATTGTTAATTACTAAGTTTCTTACCCAAATGGCTGTATGGTAATGAAGAAAACTTTTAATCAGTAACTCACCGGCTATTCTTATAACTTTCCCTAAATATTAAATATTAATAAAACACAAAGTTGAACGTACGAAGCCTTGATTTGGTTGCATTATAAAGCTCTAAAAGGTAAATTTCCTTACGCTCTCTCCTTAGGCATTGTTCTTTACTAAAAAATTCAGGAGTTAATAAATTAATCTTCTACATTAACACAAAGTGTAACTGGTTCATGTCACTAACATTTTCCAAAATTTTCAACAAAATAAACTTGTCTCAGGGGAGGCATGTTGAAAAGTATCTATAAAGTCTTTAGTTACTATTTTCGCAGTCGTACCTTTGCATTAATTTAAGGGAAGTGGAAGAAAACTATTTACCCCAAAATAGTAGATATATACCTAACCGAATGTTATCAAATATTCGAATGCCTCTAGGATTCAAATATATGTAGATGTAAATCCCACAATCATATACTTTCATGGATTAGGCGCTCAACCCTTCGTTGGTGTAAGTATAATGACCATAGGAATTATAAATTCCCATAAGTACGTTCATCTTACGACCCTAATAATTTATTTACAGTTACACTCTGGTAAAATCAATTTTAACGGAATTTACGGTTTGATGAGTTCAGCGATTAAAAATTGATATTTAAATCTAACTTCACAATCCCATCTGCCTTTATTACATATCTATAATTTAGGGGAAATGCCCCAAACTAGAAAAACTAATTGTATAGTAACGTTAATATTAAAACGACATTAATTTGTAATGTAAATTAACGTATTTATATTCGTCATTGATCTTTCGGGCCTTTAAAAAAACGTTAAACAAATTTATTTTTGCTTATTTACTTAAACAACAGTCAATGGACATCATAAACACTTAAAATATGATTACCAAATGTTTAGTGTTGATTTGTACAATTTATCGACAATTAATTTATCTTCGAACGTACGTATTTCAAATTTATTGCACGCTGGACTTTTTTACTGAACCTGCTAAAATTGTGTTCATGAAGTCAACTCAAATTTACTTCAAATATAAGCAAATATAAATGTAAAATACTGTAACGTAAATTTAATTACCTGGTTTTATTTATTTACATATAATTAGCCGTAAAGTTATAACAGTATTGAAATGGATTATAATATAAGCGCATCGA